CAAGCACATTTGAACATTTGTTGCCATCATCATTCTCAAAACGTTTGCTTTCTACTTGAGTCCTTGGTATCAGCTCCTCATTGTCCCCTCCCTCCACCCCCCCAATGAGCCCTTGATAATTTACAAATTATTATTATTTTTCCATGTCTTACACTGTCTGACATCTCCCTTCACTCACTTTCCTGTTGTCCGTCCCCCAGGGAGGGGGTTATATGTAGATCCTTGTGATTGGTTCCCTCTTTGACAGGGTCATTTTTAACAAACTTCTGCCTTAAAAAATATGCTGGCAGAGACCTATCTCAGAGGCAATTGTGCCTACATTCAATGCTGGGTGTTGTTAATAATCAGCATTTATTACTTATTATGTGTCAGACACTTTATGTACATTATCATAGGTAATCTTTACAATAGGGTAGATATGACCTTCCTAACCTTCAGAAGATGAAATCGAGTCATATAGAAATGTTAAGAAATTCTCCAGATGTACGTGTAGAAACGAAAAGATGATTTAAAAGCCAGGAAAGAAAGTAAAGGCCAAAGCAGATGTCAGAAGAGACTCCGACACTTGCTTTTGAACATAAGATAGCTCAAACCAAAGGTGGAAACGCTGAAGCAGAAGATTGGAACAGATTTCCCAGGGCACTTTGGGATGAGAAACCAAAATATGATACGATATGTGCAACGACCTGGAGTAAGAAAAACAACAGGGAGGAATCCATGCTCCACGTTTCTCCAGGTGAAAGAACTGAAGGGCAAAAAAACCCTCAAGCTTCAAGTGCGGCAATATGGAAGGATTTTATTGAATTATACAGAAGCATCCAAAGAAAATATTAAGGATACAGAGTCGCGCTATCAAAAAAACAAACCAAAAGGTTGACCATCAACCATTTTGAGAGGGAGGCTGTGATCAAGCGCACATGGCCCTGAGAAAAAAGGCCAAGCTGCATGGAAGGCATTGGCAGGAAGGACATCTCCGGGAGTTGACTGAAAGCCCATTGAAATGTTTCTACAAGTGGATGCTGTGCTGGGGTGCGCACCCATGTATTCAAATGTGTTTACACTGGGACAGCAGTATGCTGAGCAAATCAGCTAATCACAAAGAGACAAATATGGGGGGAGACTAATGTTATATGGATAAGCAGCCAGGCAGCCAGACAGTGGCTCTCAATTCATGCAGTCATTGAGTCTGGCTTCCCAGGCAACGGGGTGGTATGACTGTCTGACTTGTAACCCATTTATCAACCCTCTATTTCTACATTATAAAGACCATTTCCCCAGGGTAGCTCTCCCCTCCGTTGGGGGCAGTTTCTCCTTTACAGGGCAGTGGGAGTGGACCGCCTAGTCCATGCCATGTGCTCCTTTGGATGTAAGGCTGTAAGACCCTGAGTTCACCAAAGAGAACTACAGAGAAGGTTGCTTCATCAAAGAGAAACAGTTCCAGCCATCACATTAGGAGTGAGTTAATTAAATGTTTGACCAGTATGGCCTGAGAATGTTGTTATTAATATCCAAATGCCCCTTGCAAGGAAGAGAAATCGTACCCACCTCTGCTTGAGAGAA